GCTGCTGGCGCCTTCGGTGGAGCTCCTATGGGGCCACGATCCTCGTGAGGGGTGTGCCGAAATGGCCCGAGGCCGCCATGCGCACTTTGCCACTGGCGCCTTCGGTGGAGCTCCCGTGGGGCCACGATCCTCGTGAGGGGTGTGCCGAAATGGCCCGAGGCCGCCACGCGCACTTTGCCACTGGCGCCTTCGGTGGAGCTCCTATGGGGCCACGATCCTCGTGAGGGGTGTGCCGAAATGGCCCGAGGCCGCCGTGCGAATTTTGCAACAGGCGCCTTCGGTGGAGCTCCTATGGGGCCACGATCCTCGTGAGGGGTGTGCCGAAATGGCCCGAAGCCGCCATGCGCACTTTGCTACTGGCGTTTTCGGTGGAGTTCCTACGGGGCCACGATCCTCGTGAGGGGCGTTCCGAAATGGCCCGACGCCGCCGTGCGCATTTTGCTACTGGCGCCTTCGGTGGAGCTCCTGCGGGGCCACGATCCTCATGAGGGGTGTGCCGACATGGCCCGCGGCCGCCATGCGCACTTTGCTACTGGCGCCTTCGGTGGAGCTCCTATGGGGCCACGACCCTCGCGAGGGCGATGATGATCATGATGATGACGATGATGCGAGGAGGAGGGAGGGGACAGCGGGAGGAGGAAGGAACGCGGGGCGCTGTCTCTTCAAAACGAGGACCCAACACCACAGGATGGTTGGGGCAAATGATTATAATTAGCCTGGCGAAGGACCCAACCATACGCAGTTGTGAATACCGCAATTGTGAATACCATCTTCGCCCGCGCTCCCTACGTGGCCACGGCTTCCCGCCGGAGCCCGACATGCTCAGGAACACGTTCGTGCCCGTCTTTGCGGGCGCCGACGACGACAAGGACGGCGCCCTTCTGACCGAGGAGCAGAAGCAGGGGAAGGCTTTGAAAACCATTGGGATGTGTCGGTGCACGTCGTGAAGGCGGAGCACGACGCCCACGCGCAGTTGTTGAAGCAGCGCAACTATGGGGCCACGATCCTCGTGAGGGGTGTGCCGAAATGGCCCGGGGCCGCCATGCGAACCCTGCCACTGGGGGCCTTCAATGGAGCTCCCTATGGGGCCACGATCCTCGCGAGGGGTGTGCCGAACTGGCCCGAGGCCGCCGTGCGAACCCTGCCACTGGGGGCCTTCGGTGGAGCTCCCTGTGGGGCCACGATCCTCGCGAGGGGTGTGCCGAAATGGCCCGAGGCCGCCATGCGAACCCTGCCACTGGCGCCTTCGGTAGAGCTCCTACGGGGCACCGATCCTCGTGAGGGGTGTGCCGAAATGGCCCGAGGCCGCCATGGGAACCTTGCCACTGGGATGGGGCCACGATCCTCGTGAGGGGCGTTCCGAAATGGCCCGAGGCCGCCATGTGCACTTTGCTACTGGCGCCTTCGGTGGAGCTCCTATGGGGCCACGATCCTCGTGAGGGGTGTGCCGAAATGGCCCGAGGCCGCCATGCGCACTTTGCTACTGGCGCCTTCGGTAGAGCTCCTGTGGGGCCACGATCCTCATGAGGGGTGTGCCGAAATGGCCCGCGGCCGCCATGCGCACTTTGCTGCTGGCGCCTTCGGTGGAGCTCCTACGGGGCCACGATCCTCGTGAGGGGTGTGCCGAAATGGCCCGAGGCCGCCATGCGCACTTAGCCACTGGCGCCTTCGGTGGAGCTCCCTGTGGGGCCACGATCCTCGCGAGGGGTGTGCCGACATGGCCCGAGGCCGCCATGCGAACCCTGCCACTGGCCCCTTCGGTGGAGCTCCTACGGGGCCACGATCCTCGTGAGGGGTGTGCCGAAATGCCCCGAGGCCGCCATGCGCACTTTGCTACTGGCGCCTTCGGAGGAGCCCCTGTGGGGCCACGATCCTCGTGAGGGGTGTGCCGAAATGGCCCGAGGCCGCCATGCGCACTTTGCCACCGGCGCCTTCGGTGGAGCTCCTATGGGGCCACGATCCTCGTGAGGGGTGTGCCGACATGGCCCGAGGCCGCCATGCGCATTTTGCTACTGGCGCCTTCGGTGGAGCTCCCTATGGGGCCACGATCCTCGTGAGGGGTGTGCCGAAATGGCCCGAGGCCGCCATGCGCACTTTGCTACTGGCGCCTTCTGTGGAGCTCCTATGGGGCCACGATCCTCATGAGTGGTGTGCCGAAATGGCCCGAGGCCGCCATGCGACCTTTGCTACGTGCGCATTTGGTGGAGCTCCCTGTGGGGCCACGATCCTCGGAAGAGGTGTGCCGAAATGGCCCGAGGCCGCCATGCGCACTTTGCTACTGGCGCCTTCGGTGGAGCTCCTATGGGGCCACGATCCTCGTGAGGGGTGTGCCGAAATGGCCCGAGGCCGCCATGCGCACTTTGCTACTGGCGCCTTCGGTGGAGCTCCTATGGGGCCACGATCCTCGTGAGGGGTGTGCCGAAATGGCCCGAGGCCGCCATTCGCACTTTGCTACTGGCGCCTTCGGTGGAGTTCCCTATGGGGCCACGATCCTGGTGAG